TGTCCCGCTTTTTTTACGTTGTCCCGTATTAGTCTGCGACTTACAGGTTCCATGTTTACGGGGGTAATATGCATGTCGTAAAATAATTTAGAATATAAGTTTGTGATTGTGTATGCGATAGAATAGCCAACTATTATATTATCTTTCACAATTTTTCGTCTGCTACACTCCATCCATATTTAATGGCTAAGTGTGATCCGAGTAGATCACTAACTCTTTAGACTCTGCTTACACCCTAGGGTATTACAGGCGTGACGTATTATTGATAGGTATTATAATAACGTTGTCTACACATAGGAAGGGTAGGAAAATTATCAAAGTTGATAATACCTATCCAAAGCACGTAGGTATAAAGTTCGACAGAAAAGACGTATATCAAAACGTAATTTTCGTGATCATTTCAGCAGAAACATAGTAGCATGGTTTAGGACCCTATATCAGTCATTCAAAGTAAACGTAAAAGTCATAATACTTTTTCGAAATTTGATTTTAGGAATAAATTCCGCAAAAGTCAATAAACATAGTAAGCCCTCACTTTTATTTTCATTATGAAACATTACAAAAACTAACCATTATATTTTTTTATAATTATAGAAACCTTTTTTTTTCCTATTGTAAAAAAGTAAATAGTCACCAAGACACCTTCTAAACTATTCCTTTGCTGCTATTGAGATCATTTGCGTCTGTTTCGGATTTCAAAGTCCTAGAAACATTATATTCTACAGACTTGCATGTTTTCTCGGGTGTTTTGCTCCACCGCTAAGCACATGCGGTAAATAAGCACTTGAAATTACAATTAACAAATTCATTGGTACCATTATATCACATTCATTGGATATGAGGTGCGCTTAGCTCCTTAGTTTCTGCGGCTATCAGGTGTTTACTGTCTTTTCTTCATCACATGATTATGAATTCAAAACCCCAAATACATCAGTCCTCCCGTGACCCCCTGGGTGGTGCAAAATACTCGAAACTTCGCAATAAATTATATCAGTACGAAAATTACAGTATCATTGTATAGAATAGCTTTGAGATGATTGATTGTTATATTTTATTACACCGAACAATATGCATACATCATTTATTTGATCTTATTGTTATGTTATAATATTATTATTAACTGTCAATCCCAATGACATAATGTATTATTATAACGTCATTTCTGGCTTGCATTCTTCACACACATCAAAACTGAAAAGTTTACTGGTGAACATAGGCCTCCTTATAATATGCAATAGTTGGCACGTTGCAGACGAAAACTACACAACTTAAACGTGTTTGTAATCGCAAGTACAAGTACAATATCAATTATGTAAATGTCCTTGAATTATAAGTATATCCTTTGACAACTTGGACAATAAGGAGCTGTCGTGTGGCTACTATTGAATAATGGCTGATACAATACGTGCATCAGACACGCTCGGTTGAGAATCAATCGTATTGATTTGAGAAATAAATAAAATTGAATATTTACTACATATTATAATAAAAATTCTATGAGGGTATGTATTGATTCGACAAAAAAATGTTAAAGAACTCCCCACTACCGAAGCATTCGCTATTACTGATCTATGTTTGCTTTTACAACAAAATCCCATAAAATAAACATAGCCAGTCTGTTATATTATCAACATTGAAAAAAATACAGTAAAACCCACCTCTGAAAAGAATAAACACAATCCACATAATTTAATAGCTTCTGATGCTTAAAATTCTAAAGTTACTCATAAGTCATATATAGTCATATATGAGTCATAAGACATAAAGTTTATCTTCATTTTTACTGTTTTAGTTATTCGTAGAAAATAAAAAATGCTTGTATTATATTGTAATTTTAATCAACCGAAAACTCAAATTGGTCTTTTTTCAAAATCCTGCGTAGAATATAAATCCCAAAAGGCTTGCCCTTTTTGTTTTAAAGAATAGATTATATTTTTATGTCGTGGATATGTCACATTGGATCGTTCGTTCAACCACCAAAAATAGCCGTATGACATATGCAGAGTAATAATTTGTCGCCAATTAATTGCAATAGAAAGTTCGACGAAGTCGGTCTTGAGTGAGACGGTTTGTTTTATATCTATGTGTGCAATGCAAATTAATTTTGACGTGAACTAATTCAACTACATCGCAAAACGCAACAGACTAAATCTTAACGATTTAATATTTTTATAATTACAACATTATAAGGGATTGTGGACGTAACAGTCATACTGTACCTAGCTGTTTTACAAGTTGAACCTACTACACTGATTATCCTAAAGTAATAAGGATAGAAAGTGGTAAAAAATTGTAGTAAGTAGTAAGTATTCATTAATGATTAGGATTTAATGAAGTACACGATTTTCGCAAACATCACTATTAAAATATACATATTTTTTATATAGCATTGGGTGACAAACGAGCACACAGACCACCTGATGGTAAGTGGATACTGTGGTCCATAAACATCCACATTTATCCTCAATTAAGAATCAAAATACAAATGCGTTGTCACCCCTAAAACCAATATGGAATGCCTCGATTCCCATAAAAAAGTGTCTCCGGTTCTATACACTCACCAATCACCATACGAAACACAGTAGCATTACACTGCTATTTTACGCTGGGATTCTGTGAGAGCGTGGTTCTACCCTGGTCGAGCCGACTGATTCGTGCTACAACTATGCTACTAATATAACTGCAGCATGGCTGTATCACGTAAAACGTATTTATGACTATAATAAAAAATAAAACTTTTATTAAAATACAGTCTTATATTACTCATCGCTGGCTACATTTCCTTGCTGAATGACTATATCTACGACCTGCCTCCTCCCTCCTCTCTTCCCACCAGCGGCGGCGCCAAGTCACAAGATGCACACACACACACACGAGTACCCACAGATACAATAGAAATAAAGTTTCCGTGAGGGCGTGTCACACTTACACCACTTAGTTCAGTCATTTCCTTTTAATTAATATTAGATTTTAAGCAAATGCTTGCACCCAGCCATCTTCTCCGTTGTAATTATCCTATATAATTTCATTAATCATTCTTGTCTAGAATTGGTGTTCATTTACGAAGTATTTTGGTCTATCAAAATTTAATATAATAATGATACCTGAACAGTAAAATAAATAAAATTCATTTATTTGAGATAGTTACTGTGTAGAAAGAAATACGTTTTATTTTTTTAAGTAAAGTAAACAAAGTTGAACTAGTGTAACCTATATAGAGTCCAACGAATCAGATAGCTGGTGTGAAAATGGGCTGACCATGGCTTAAAGAACCGACAACCGATGGGGAAAATAGTTACCAAGTGGCACCTTCATGCCTCGTGTATGGCGGCCCCCACTAGATGGAGTGACGACCTGGTAAAAGATGAGGCCTATTTTCTGCATATAACTTGTAAATGGTAGTAATAAAATGAAATGAACTTAAAGATACATTGTTGAGTGTCCATTACGTTGAGACAAAAAAATCGTTAGTCATCTACAAATCAATCGTAAAATGCTAAAAAGTGGTGTTGAACATGAAAATCGTCATTGAATATTCTAAATATATAATCGAACTATTTTTTTAAGATTTATAAAAGTGGCCCAATAAGGCACCTTGGGAGAGGCCCTGGTAGTAAACTGCCGCAGACAAAATAGTAAAACTTTTAATATAAACAAAATAATCCTCATATATAGCTTAATTATAGCAACAAGAAAAAAATATGAATAATTAATAGAAGCTGTGATTAAATATGCATGATATTTTCCTTAGAATGATTTAATAACCCTTTGATTACAATTGTAACATTTTATTATATATTTCACATATTATACATATACTTTACGTAAGTTCAAAATGCGGACTAAAAAATGTAAACAACATTCTAATTATGGCGTTGTTATGCATGTTTTAGATGATTTTGTGTTCAGTAGTGAAGTCGTCGTCGTCATCTGCCTATAACAGTCCATTACTGGACAAAGACCTATTTAGAAATGCGAGAATTTTCCATCACTCTTATACAGTTATTATAAGGCACCGACAATGAATCTATCTATATCTACTGTTCAGTAAAATTAGCATGTCCCACCAATATAATACACATTTTGTGGAGTCAACAAGCACTAATTCAAAGGCATATTGGCCGGTTTAAACTAATATTACAATCATTTTTACGTTATAAAATAACTTAAAAATGATTTGTCAACTTCAAGAAGAATTAAATATCTTGTAATCTGCAACAGATTCAATTCATTTATTTTTCCAAGCAAAGCGTGAAATTATTATAGTAGAACACTAAGTTATTAAGTTTCGAGATGTTTTCTAATTAGTGCAAAAATCGTTACGAAAATCAAACAACAAGCAATGAAAATCAGACTTTGTGTATTATAATCTAGCGAACACAGTTCCGGTATAATCGTATTACCAGGTGACGGCATTGTGAAACTTGTATTTCGTATATTTCAATAAAAACACGCAAGCGAGAATTGTAGCTTGACCTTTATCATGTGCATTGCATACGTCTATCCGTCATTTTAAGATGATAATTAACATTATTTTATCTGTGCTTTGGTAGTCCTAGCCTCACATATACTTAAAAAGTAGGCTTGCCTTAAATTTGCTTAACTTTTTGTTGACACGATATGGTAAAATTTTTATAGGAGTAGCCAAATAAAAAGAAAAAAGAACGATTTCATCGGTCAGGAATTAGAATAGTTTGAATTAATCACGATACAATTCATAAAATAGTTTTATCCAAAAAGAAAGTATTATACTTTAGTATTGAATTTCAAAACATGATTCAAGAACAAAATAAAAAATCGTATATATGAGCTAGGTAATAAATAATAATCAATAAAACTTTTTTGCAATTAAAATATTTTCATGTTCAAAGATATAAGCTACACACCTAAAATGTATTTTAAAATTGGTTTATTATACTTACTACTTAGGTAACTTAAAGGTAAGCGGGCTGAAATATCTTTATTATGCATAAATTTGTTCAAAAATAATTTTGACTTACCCGAATGGAATGTATGGAAAAGTAGAATAGAAAACACTAGTAATACTGTCAACATTTTTTAAGGAATACAAAATCATACACTCTCAACATGGAATTAAAATTCAGAACCGTTTGCATCGTGTAACCGTTAAAAAAGAGAACAATCAATATCACAACACAGTTATCTCGCACACAGTAAACTGAATTAAACTGTTGAAATTTTAGACACAATTAAAAATAACAGTTACAATTCAAAGTTATAGGAAGGTAATCTCGTGTGTGACCGTATGGAAGAAATCATAGAGGCGCGAAATCACAATACGTCCATACGCGTTGGCGCGACACAACGAACAGAGGAGCGGATAGACTGACTGAACCAATGATTGAACCATTGGACTAAACTGAACCGAACTAAACTGTTACTGACTCAAGAAGGTGCGCCGGAGGGAAGGAAGCTCGCTTGATGGCGCGTGTGCAACTATGAAGCAAAAGGCTGGGCTATTTGAAATTGTAAAGGCTAATTAAATGGCGCCTACTAGATAAGTTAAACATAGAACGAACGAAATCGTAAACTCTTTAAAAGACCATTTAACCAAATATAGCGTGTACTGTAGACTTTATAATTGGCTAAATTTAAAAATCTTTACATTGATTTGTTCAATATTACGTAACAGCGATTCGCTTAAAATTACAACATTGTTCAGTTATTAATAAATATTTGGCACAAAAAGGTTTTGGCAGCACTTTTAGAATTACTTAAATTTTTAGTACAACTGTTTTCTTTTAAAGAGACAAAGGTGTAAACAATTACATCACAAGAGTGTACACCGTGCTTGTCTTGCAGGCCGCGAGCCCTGAGTCACTCGCGGCCTGAGTCAGATGAAGCTGTAAGAGTCGTATAGACTAACAGCGCTAACATCCAGAAAATAGAGACACCGTGCTTGTTGTTGCTAATATAAATGTCACTGTAAGAGCAAATTGATAAACCAAAGGATCCGATGTTTCAAGAATATAAAATATATATGAATCTAATGTTTGAAAATTATGGCTATTTTAAAAAACAAAAAAAAAGACATTTTCCTTACTTCTAGAAGAAATTTCCCTGCTATAAATGTCAACCTTCAAGACATTGGAGTAAGTACGTACTACGTACATACATCTATTATCTTAAAAGTAATAAATAATCAGCATGATTAAAAACGTGAAGTTCAACTGCAGATAGTTAATTTTGAGGCATATATTTAATGAAAAAAAAATTATTTAAAAGTTACAGCCTACACACATCCCACTGCTGGGCACAGCCTCCCTTCATTTCTGAAAGGTTTTTAGGGCAAAGAAGTGTCCGCCGCGCTGCCTAATGTCGATTGGTGAACTTCACATGTCATCGAAACATTTTTTTTTATTTCTTGGACATGCAGGTTTCCTCACGATGTTTTCCTTTAGCGCCGAGCACGTGGTAAAACAGGACTTAAAATTACAATTAACAATTTCATTTGTGCCGGTGTTGATCGATCCCGGGTTGCTCGTGTACCAATGATTATATCCTAGATGCGGTGAATCTTTATCTCAAAGCCTAGGAAGATAATAGCAGCAGTAACAATAACAGGACTGAGTAGTATTTAGTATTTACGCCGTTAATGAGCTAAAATATGTAAAAGATATCTTATTACTAACGGATGGATTAAACAGCTGAAAAGGTTCAACATACCTAGAATATACATAGAAATATGCATAGGGCCCAAAAGGCCCGATCACTATTTCACCCTTCTCTTTTAACAGATTTTGCCTGCTAAGCCAGATTTCCCTTTTGAAAGAGAAATCTGGCTTAGCAGGCAGATTAGTTTTTTTATAGGATTGGGTGACAAACGAGCACACAGCCCGCCTGATGGTAAGTGGTTGCTGTGGCCCATAGACATCTACATCTATCCTATATTACGAATCAAAATGCAGATGCGTTGGCACCCTTTAAGATTAAGATGGAATGTCTCGTTTCCAGTAAAAGAGTCTCCAGTTCTCTACACTCACCATGCGAAACACGACAGCATAGGTGATGAGGGCGCCAAAAGCAGATTTTTCACGCTTTATAGGTGCGCAGAAAAGCAATTTCTTGTCATTAAAAGCTACGAATCTCCTTTTTTTAAATTCATTATGAAAGTTAAAGATTTTTCTTAGTGAATTACGTTGGCCTTAACACGATTGACACATTTTGGCTCGATAGAAAAAGATCGCAGTTTCCTCAAAATCTTCAATTTTAAGTACGTCCACTAAATGAAAAAGTTGTTTCATTCGAATGTAATGAAATTAATTTTAATTAAATTCAGGCTATGTGTTCACCAGTAAATATGTGAGTGAATTATGAGTTTATTTTTCAATAAAAGAGTATATATAATTTTAAAAAGAAATATCAAATAAATATTGTGCGAAAAAATAGCGCGCGGGCCGACCAAACAGCCGCCAGTCGCACCTATAAAGCGTGAAAAATCTGCTTTTAGCGCCCAATTCACCTTAACGGCCTATACTACCTCAGATCAATTTCTAATTTCGCCCCCACTGCCCCGCGCGACTCGTTCGCACACTACGGCTCGCGGTCACGCGGGAACACGAGGTCAAAGCGAACTTACTTCCAGTACCTCCACACCATACACCACCCCACTAGGAACGACACACCAGTCTCGATAATATGATACGTGTGTATGATACGTAATCAACGAGTTGTATAAATAGCAGCGTGTGGAGTGCTAGGAATAGTGGTGATGGGACTAGTGGTGACGAAGATAGTTTCAACCTCCGTACAGTCTACTTCATCTGAGGATGCCTCGTGTAGAGGCGAAACACATGTATTATTGTCAAGGGTGGTGTGTCGATCCTAGTGTTGTGGTGGTGGGAGGGGTGGCGATGGTAGTGGTGGTGCTGAAAGGAGTCTAGAAAGGGATAGTGTACGCTACTGAGGGAGAGTGTGAAGTAGGTGCTCTTTAGACTGAGCAGGACACATTGTATTTTATTACGCTGAAATGAGCAAATGCAGTTGCAATGAGCGCGGAATGCGGAGGCGGGAGCGGGGGAATTACGCGGAAATGTGCAATGAGAGTTTGACGTGGTAGAGCCATGCTGCAACTATATTAATTGTATAGTTGTAGCACGAATAGGTCGGCTCGACCGGGAACGGACCACGTTCTCACAGAATACTAGCGACAAACAGCAGCTTAATGCTGCTGTGTTTCGTATGGTGAGTGTAGAGAACCGGAGACCCTTTTTACTGGAAAAGAGGCATTCCATCTTAGTCCTCAAGGCTGACAACGCATTTTCATTTTGATTCGCAAACGAGGATAGGTGTAGATGTCTATAGCCCACTGCAACCACTGACCATCAGGTGGACTGTGTGCTCGCTTTTCACCCGTTTCCCATACAAAAATTAAGTTCTAACTACTTCAATATCCATTATATATTATATTATTTCCGCAAAGTAACGCCTAATTCTTTCGATCAAAAAGTTAAGTATTTGGGCGTAACAATCAACCAAAAACTATCGTGGAACACTCACCTTAACAACGTATGTCATACGGCTAAAATTGTTTTAGGTACGTGCAGTCGTATGGTTAGGAACAATTGGGCTTGCGTTTCTCATCCTATGGCTGTACAGCAGCATAGTGTGGCCGATTATCACCTACGCCTCAATCGTCTGGTGTAATAAGACCAACCAAAGACGACTGCGGACAAACACTGGAGCGATGCGATCAACGCCTGATGCAGCTAAGCTGCATTAAAACTTCGGTGCTTAACGCCCTTTGATCTTTATTTGGACCAGGAGGCGAGGGTTAGTTTGTATAGGATTAACACCCAGGGCGGTCTGCGTTTGCTTTCCTAAAAATTGAAATCCATGCTCGACTCAATTAAGGAAACACGGGTCTTATGCATGATCTCAGATGTCATGCGTCCACTATACAGTTTTCATAAATAGGATATAGTGGAACTACCCTCCGGAGAAGATTGGCTGAATGGAAAGATTATCTGTGAGTTCATTAGCCTTATATGGTACACTGATTGGTCAAAAAATGGGCCTCGACGTAGGCTTTGGAATTTATAGGGAATGCCCCAAATTCAAACTTAGTATGAATTATGGTAGATTCACCTCCATCTTTCAGACAGAAATTTTAGTCATACTTCAGTGTGCGCAAATCAATCTGTAAAAACACTATGTCAATCATATAATCTATATAAGCTCTGATAGTCAAGCAGCACTGCTGTCGCTGCGATCAAATTTAGTGAACTCGAAGGTAGTTGGAGACTACGTGAATCGTCTTAACGCCTTTGGATGTAACAATAGAGTCTTTTTAAGAAGGGTTCCGTCCCACGCGGGTATTGTAGGCAATGAACTTTCCGATGAGATCGCACGGGAGGGCGGATAAAGAGCACACAATTTGGAACCGAGCCAACCAGATTGTCCTTGAAACTCTTTATCACAAGAAATCACTTAAGATCTGGTCTGATACAGCAGGCTTAAAACATTTTAAAATCTTAATCCGGGCTTTTGATCGCAAATTCGCCTCAGAAACCCTGAGATTAGATAAAAATAAACTGCGCATTGTTGTCTTAAAAAGCGCATAGGCATCCTAGGACTAAAGATCTTAAGGATGTGGCGGTTTTGTTCCTTAACGGAAAAAATGCCTCTGCATATCCTAACTCATTGTGAACCCATCTACTTCGCACAGAAGAAGTAAAATTGCTCACAGTTAAGCAACTCCTATTCAATAAAGACATATGGCTTAGCAGTGAACTATAGCCGTAGCAGCGATCACAATAGATATTTTAGGTTGCAGTGATACTGGTCTCTGACCTGCATAGCGGAACGCACAAAAAAAAGCTATGCAGTCTGAATCTACCGATTTACCAAAGGTGTCGTATTGTTCGAAAATTTTGTCAGAATTTTGAAACAGTACCGAGCCTTTTCATCTGCTCTAATAACAGATAGATCCAATTTTTAAGCCAGCCCAATTCTAAAGAAGGCAAATATTATTTGTGTACAAGGCCGTAGGTGATTCACCAACTGATCCTAAAGAATTGTTTAAAATGAACGTT